GTAGTAACTACCTATAAGTATCTGTAAGTCAATGGACTACAGAGACTAGCTGGGATCTGTTGAGCACGACTCAGACTTGCGTAAGAACTACCGACCTTCCAATCATAGCACTCACTACTGGATTGACTTGCAACAACCTTGTGCATAACTGTACCTTTATTCTTATTGTACTGGTTTTTACAATAAACCTTTACTTATTTTATCCATCTTGTTTGTCAAGTATATATTCCTATTAGCATGGAATATAACACTTTGTCATTCATTTTTCCCAAACAAAAATGTAAAGATTGCCATGAATTAGAAGAAAAATGTAATCTGAAGAGAAAATCAAGACATTTTAAAGTTAGTGTTCATAATGTTATACCATACCTATGGACTGTAATGGGTATGTTCCAATTCCTATAAATACAGTGGTATTTACTATATCTGGTCTTCCACTTGGGATTCACTTCTAGCAGTTGATTACTTACCGGCGAATCTTGTACACTGTTTCTGTTATAAATATTATCATTCCATTTCAAAGCTTCATTTTGGTTATTCTTATTCAGTAACCTTTTCCTAAGTTAAAACACAGAATATGTTGGAAATTACATAAAAAGTTAAAGAGAAATCAAAGTGCAGGGTGTGTCCCTAAAGTCTGGATACATAGACAAAGATGCATATTTTCAAGAAATGAAATTCTCAACAACATTTTATTGAATTGCAATATTAACAAATAACATCTTTAATATGATTTCCATCATTTGTGGTGCAAAGGTTGATGTACTTTGCAAGATTCACATGAATTGGATTCAATAACTCCACATCTGTCAATTTTAACATGTTCACTTTTTATGTGTTCAATCAAGTGTGTTGCATTTGTGATTTTCATTGAATACACCTTCTTTAGCATTCTCCAGAAAAAGAAGTGAAGTTTATTTCTTTCTTTCTTTCAACAAAACCATGTTTAATCTTTGGCGATAAAAAAAAATATAGTTAATGAGATTTCCTATATGTTGAGATTTAAGGGACACTTTGTACAATTAAAAAAAGAAACTGAAAACATTGTCAAGATAAGAACAAGAAAACAAATTGGATTTAATATCTCAAAAAGATATTTGAGTAAAATTAAAAGGCTAATATACAAGAAAAGCAGGTAGAACAAAATATTTTATTTATTTATTTCGCCAAGACAATAAAGTCATTATGACATGAGAGTTTACTGAGTATGAAAGAATAAGGGGAAAAAAATTAAGGAGAGAGAACAATAAAAGAACAGGAATTAAGAAAACAAAAGATAATGATTAACATTGCATTTAAATTGTTGAAGATGAAATTTACCTGGAATACAACAGTCCAGAAGAGAATTCTACAATGTTGATTTCATTCCATATGGGAATGACTGCAAAATTTTACCTATCTTTTATATGCAGAAGTCTACCAATACATGCTGGGATATTTTTCTTAGCCAATAAAATAGGTTGGTTTACAATTTGACTTGACTCAGTCCAGATCGACCTTATCTCAAAGACAGACCACTGAGTTTGCTTGTCTGACTTTGCTTTTGTTTATGGTTGCTAATTCATAGTTTATAAACTTTTTACCTTCTTACCTGTGAATTTACTTTTGCATATATTGTTTGCTTGCTTGATATTATTTTATTTTTGCCCCTTTTTCTTTTTATTGCAAAGTTTGACAGTTCTCTTCTTTTCTTTTTTTTATTAAATCATAGCTACTAACTCATCACACAAGCATAGCAGAAGCACCAGACCAGATGTAGCAACAATATTCAATGCATGGACAAATGGTAGACTTATAAATGTGTAAGATAGATTCTGATGAGAAAAAGAGGTTAGCATCAGCCATGCTAATGGAAGGTAGAAAAAGTTCTCTAAGACGATTAAAAGTGAAGTTTCATTATGGAGGTGTTAAAATTAACCAGACTTTTTGGCCCCAGTTTACAACAGATTGCAGTTTATTTTTTAGATCAGTTGCAAATTTGACCTTGTCAAACTGCTCAGACTTACCATTAAGACATAAGCAAATAGTTTGATCAGCATAGATGCCAAGTTGAGATCTGATGGCATTGGGAAGGTTCTTGATGAAAATTAGGAACATTTTAAGAAGCTGTTGTTGCAAATGCAAATAGAGAAAAAAAATGCAGCATGTTAAGAATACTGGATAAAGACATAAAAGCAATCAAACTACCACCTTTACGTAAACACTGAAAAAGATTAGTTGGGTGAAGCAGTACATGAAAACTAATTTCTCAACTGCAATTGTTAGTGATGAAGGTAGGACTACATTAGATAGATATGATAGATGGGCTATGAGTTGGATCTTTTATAGAAATCATCAACCACCACAATTTTGAAGACAATAGTTAAGAGGTGTAGTAATGTTTTTGTTCATATTGTACAAAGTTAAATTTTGGTCCTTTCAATGGTACAAGTCACAATAAAGAAGCTTTAAGTCTACAAAGCTGACTATTGCTCACCTTGCTAAAACAAAAAGGGTTTCAAAATTAATGGAATAGCCCTCAGCTTCTCCAGATATTAATTCACTTAAAAACTTGTGATCCATTCTTAAGAGATTGATATGAGTATTTTAGAAAACAATAAAACTGCTGCAAGTGATGCTAAAGTCAAAATTGAAGAAAAGTTAATGAGATCAGTGAATAAAAAGCTGATGGAGGCTATCATCAAAGAGCCCATATTAACATGTCTAATAATATTAGGTTATTCAGAAATAATGTCCAATTTTAGATTCAACTTTTTTTTCCTGAAATAATGTATTTAAACAATGATTAAATCAGTCAAAATAGGAATCCTGAACATCTATACATTTCTACTATCAAGTTAGAAATTTATTTATGCCTTTACAATAAAACTTGAAAGGTTTGAATACTAAGAAGTCATTGAATGCAGTTTCTGCATCTTCTTTGCAACAGACTGTCTTTTGGCTTAAAAATTTGTCAAGATGTTTGAAAAAAATGGTAGTCAGATCCGAGGAATATGATGGATGTGGCAAAGTCTTTTATCCCAATTCAGTGAGCTTCTCCAATGTCATTCTGGTAACATGTGGCCGGGCATTGTCAGGAAGCATAATTGAACTTTATAGATTAATCAGTGCCAGTGACATTTTGCTTAACAGAATGTACATATCACCCAGTTGTTAACTTAGGCAGTGATGCTCTAGTTAGACCCCAGAAAGCTGCAATGGATAAGGCAGATCACTATGTGTCTGTGACAAAGGTGTGCCTTGAAGTTAGCAAACATTGGTTTTGATTTGATCTGAAGAGGGATGGGCTCTGTCAGGTCTACTTGCACAAAGCACACTATGAATAAATAATTACCTCCCCAGCTTCCAACTCTGATATGTGGGGGAACTGATCAGAGAACCTTATGACCACACCTGTCATGGGACTGATGATGATGATAATTTCAATAGTTTCTCTTTTTTCAATTTAAATATGAGTAAAAATTTATATTAGATTTACTTTGTTTGCATTATGAAACCTGATACTGCCAAACAAATTATGAATATTACTGTTATATACTGTATACCTATGAACACTAATGGGTATGTCTCAATCCTCAAAAATGTGTTGGACACTATTATAAGTGGGGGTAATATGCTGTCTAAGTAGTCCACCACTAGCAGTGGTTTACCTACTTCACACCACTGGCAAATATTGTATTTTGTTGATGTTATAAAGATTACCATTTCATGTCCAACCTCTGTTTTAGTTATTCCTCATTCAGTAAACCTTTTCTAGGTTACAACAATTATTAAGCTTGATATTGTAAGCTGATACTTTAATGATATATTGTTCATTTAAATATAAGCATATCCTGAAAATTTTACCTATATTGGTTAATCCATACCAGTTTTATTATGAAGACATTGATTTGCATAATTTTACATAATATATATATCATTCTTTCAAACCAGCTATACAAGAATCACATTAGATCAAATTTGGACACAGAATAGGCTGCACTAGAGGTAGTTTCACGTAACACCACAAATTGCTACAAAACATTAACCTGAAGACTTAAAACCTGTCCTCAAATACCCTTGTCAGATCAAAACTTTCATATGAATGCTAGGCATGATGCCAAACCCATTCAGAAATATCTAAACTGTCAGTTATGTACAACCACTTTCTAAAATCAGTGTTACAACTGGCTTTGAGTGTTGTGAGGCTTATTGGTCTTGGTGAAGACCACACTTTTTTGAAGCTTGTAGATTGGTGCTATAGAATCACAAAGAAAGAACCTTACCAAATAATAGAAAGCATATCACTTGAGGACTTTCAACAACAGCTAAAATGAATATCAAATTTAACTCTAAGGGAAAATAATGATATTATCAAGAGGTTGACATTTCACAGTACTTCAAATAAAAGTATTTACACTATTTACATTATTTGGACTGTTGTCCTCATCTTTATTGCCATATTCATAACGTTTCATCTTTTGTATGCTCTGGTCTTCTTCTGGTGGAATTTCAAACCAAACTCATTATTTAGTTTACAGAGATTGTTCTTATTTTATATGCCATGCCATTTTTGGATATCTCGGTTTCTGTTAATTTCCATTTACGACTCAACTATCCAAGTTTTTGTTCCCTCTGCTGTGGCCAAATTAGTTTTTGGATCACTCAACCAACGCTTTTATCCACATGCCCTATAGTTGTGAATTCAATACCAGGCCACAGCAGAGAGAATTAACTAAAACTGAGATATTAAAAAAATAAGGCATGACATGTAGAATTAGAAGAATCTACCTCAGTGGACTAAATAAAGGGTTTGGTTTGAAAGTCCAACTTCAGTGAGCAAGGTTTTGTCTGCACCTTTTCTTTTTAATGGCTTCATCAGTAACAATTACTGTTTATAAACATTTAAAGTGAGGCAATAATTTCACTTTTGAATAAGAACAATATTTTTATTTTTCACAAAAGCAAATTCACAGAACAATCTTTTCCTCAAAATATAATTTTGACTTCTAATATTCAGCTTGCAGCCACACCATGTTGAAATACTGTATGATCATCGAAGTTAAGCAACATCGAGCCTGGTCAGTACATGGATGTGTGACTGTTTGGGAATACCTGGTGCCGTAAGCTTTGATTTGCAAGTGGTGTAATTGTTAATCAGAGAGTCAAGTTCCATTTCCTGTTGAGTTCATCTTAGTCACTTACATGCAAATACTCTTGGGAAAGGTATTTATCCACTTCTTCTCCCCCTAGCTATGAGTAAGACATTTCTCTATACCATTATTATCTCAAAAATTTCCAGCTTTAAATAACAAAGCTCTGATAATCAAATTCTCTTTGTACTGGATTGGCATGTAAGTTTGCTTATTAAGTAGAAAATTTACTTAATAAACCAAACAATCTTTTTGGTCACCCCAAGACGTTTTTTTATTGGAAACTTAGCAGGAACACAAATACTTTTTTTTTTCTGTATTGTTTTTGGCTACAGATGTGAAAAAACGAAAAAGAATCAACATTATCTATGATGTCTGCCATGACCCTTGACACATGTGAATAATGACAAAAGAAATTAAGTATTTTTTATGATGACAAATATTGTAAATTAGACATTTCTTATTTGGACATTTCATTCAATTTTGGCTAAATCTATAAATTCTTTTCATACTCATTGAGAGTAAAGTAATTTTTTTTACTGGTATTTTAACTGGCTTACACAGAAATGGCTGCTTCAGCTTCTTCTGTGTACCATGTCCCTTCAGGACATAGGTGATTATGGCCTTCTACAGCTTCCTATCTTATGTGACTCTTAGCAATTTTTCTCCCTATGCTAAGGATTCTGCCTCCTGTTCGTTTGCACAAGCTTATCTTGTCCTCATTATGTCCTGTGAAAGTTACAATTTTCAAACCCTCCTTCTTCATTATGTATCCAAGGAATTTCAGTTATCTCTTCCTGATTGTGTATAAGTGTTCTTTCATTTTCCTTAAGATTTCCTTATTGCTTAGTTGTTCTGTCTATAGAACTGTCTTACTTCCACTAATATTTTGATTTTAGTGCATGGTTTTTATTTTATAGTATACTTTTCATAATAAAATTGATATATAATATTTACACACACATATTCAGACAGGTTTTGTTAAATAATCTAGACACATTCTGTCTGCTTATTTTCGATAAGGTCCTTTCATATTCGCAAATAAGCTTTTTTGTGCGGTTATTAAAAGACAAGAGGAAAACACTGTTGGCTCATATTGTATTTATTCTGAGTACTTTTGACATAGCATAATGTCATCATCAGAGTATCATTAAATATAGAGTAAGTATTTCATCTTCATGATTGTGAAGGACAAAAATTGTTGTGGTCATCCGAAGACTACCATTTTTATGTGTGGAGTCATGGCTGGTTGACAGACACTGTTTAAGGGGAGGTAACTAGTTATAGAGTAGAAAAGTTCTGTGCTCGAATAGTTGCTAGATAAAGGAAAAACTATTAATGACAAGTACTAACATTTAAAGACTACTGTACACATTTTAAAATGTTTGTGGAGTATTTGTAATTAATTTTATTGAGGTTTGGTTTCAATCTATCTATCTATCTATCTATCTATATATATATATATATATATATATATATATGTGTGTGTGTGTTTGTGTGTTATTAATATATAGAGAGTATGGATAGGAACCGGATAAAATGATAGAAACTTTTCTGTCTTGATCTCTGATGAAGCTTTAATAAAGTGAAACATGTTAGATTAAGATCTGTTTCCTACTTGTTCTTTATCCTATCATAAGAAAGTGGTATCTACAGGTAAGTAAATGTGGTTCATCAAACTACCCTGATTCAGTTTTGTCTGGAAGCTAAACTTCAGCTGTGCATTCTATAAGTAATTTTATTAGTGATAAATATTTATAATTTTATTTATAAATATTTATAACTATAAATTTATATCCATTATAAATAGAAAGGTTTTGTGTATCAAAATTATATGCCGATTCAGATAGATTTTTTGCGTTCTTTTGTTTTTTTTTACCATTTTATCACAAATTTATTCTCAGCTCAAGCAACATACCAAATGTAACTTATTGTACATTATAGTACAAAAATTTTGTTTTTAAGTTATCAAGAATTGTACCGAAAGACAAAAAATAATTCTAAGCCAGGAAGATTTTCTTTAACCTATGGTTATCTTCATATTTGCTTATGTGTATTTTATTTATTTTTTTTTTTAATTATTAACATATCATAATCATAAAAACAAACCCAAGGTAAATGTAGTAGTTTGTAACTTGTCCAAATGAAATGATAAAAAACAATAAAATTCCGTTTTTATTCCACACCAACATTGTCAATAAAAACAATGTAAATATTAAATTGCATATGATGGTGTATATATATATATATATATATATATATATATATATGTATGTGTTCTTTAAGATTTTAGATTACATCCAATTTATTATTTAAATGAATATTATTCTTTTTTAACTGCCATAAATACAATTTATGTCACAACATATGCCTACGTCTGTGTGTTAACATGTTTATCTACACGCACACACACACACACATATTCCTTTTTAGAACCTTTGAAATTTTGGTTCTCTGATATGAACAGGTGACAATAAATTAGTTAGGGAAATTTCTGTGTCATTTTTGTGGTGAATTTGGAAATTATTTCGAAAATTGAATTTCATTATATATATATATATATATATTAATACACTTGAATTCTCATATCAACTTCTTAATGTTGATATTAAATTCATTAAGGAAGTCACCATAGTTTTTTCATTTATTTTATTTTCCCAAGTACTTTTAATCCCATCCAAGATCATCAGAGATGAATTGCTAATACAAAAAATTAATGTAATTGATAATTGTGTTTTTTTTTTTTTTATAAATGTGCATGAAACACATAATTATAAACTGTTATTTTGTTTTTAATGTTTTATCTAGGGGAGGTAACTCTAATTTTTTTTTTTTTTTTTTGCTTGGATGAGATTGAAAGTACTAAGTGGGGAAAAATGAAAAAACTATGGCACCTTCGTTAATGAATTTAATATAAACACTAAGAAGTTGATCTGAGAATTTGAGAGGATTAAAAGAAAAAGACGTCCAGATTATTCAACCAAATAGGCTTGAATGACGATATGCTGCCTATATATATATATATATATATATATATATATATAATGCATGTCTTTGTAAACACATGGACATTTTAATTTTGTACATGTAACACTTATTTGTGTGTCTCTATGTATATATATATATATATATATATATATATATATATATATGCACAATGCATGCATCTGTGAAAGTATGGACAATTTGCATTCATGCATATAACACCTATTTCTGTGTGTATATATATATATATATATATATATATATACACACAACCATTTATTTTTATATATATATAATATGCATGCCTTTGTAAATATGTGGACGATTTACTTTCCTACATGTAACAACTGTGTCTGTGTGTGTGTATATATATATATATATATATATATATAAAAGTATGGACAATTTACATTCATACATATAACACCTATTTCTGTGTGTGTATATATATATATATATATATATATATATATATATGAAAGGAAATCTCTGTTTAATTAAGTGTAAGTGCAATTGAAAAATTTTGTATTCTATTTCATACACTTACATTTCATCATTGACATTTTTATTTCTGTATACAATTTCATTGTTATTGTAAATGCAAGGGCAATTATTTTTTTTTTATCTTTAATATAAGCTGGAATAGTTTAGAATCAAATATTAGAATAAAAGATATTGCCTGCTATGATATTCCAAGATTTGCTTAGTGGGTCTCTAACATTTGATCAATATCTATTTTTGTATAAGTCTATCAAGAATCAGAATCTGAAGTTGTATTCAGCTGCGGCTGAAGGACTTTCAAGTCTACAGATCTTTTGAGTAAAAGTACTGGCTTTCATGCTGTATTTCTTCATATTTCATTTTTGTTTTAATTTATCTGGTTTATTTATCTCATCTTTGGTTTATTTTTTTTAATATTTAGAACAAATTCCACTCAGACATCTTCATCAGAATTGTTATTTTCTGCAAAAGACTCCAATCACTACAATCTTAAGCTTTTCAAGTTTATAGTCAATCATTATCTATCCTATATATCCTCATAATATGCTCTTGTTATTCCCTCCCTTAAAGAATTATAGTAAATAACTGAAAGCATATCCATATCATTTAAGTACTTTTAACAACAGACACAACTAAAATGGATATCATTTGTAACTCGAGGAGAAAATAGCATAATCAAGATGGTGATAATCCATACTACTTCAAACAAAAGTTTAGGAAGGAAACCCCAATTTCAATGACCTTTTAAAATGAAAATAAAAAGCAATATATATAAGATGAAAGTAAAACTAGCCAAAAATAAAAAGTGATAAAGCTTCATCTAACAAATTCAGCAAAATTAATATTACTATTCAAATTTCTGGGATGGGGCATTACCATTATTGCTACCAGAATGTTTCATCCATAGTGCCCATATGGTATTTGTCAATCTCTGTAACCATTGCGAAATTTTAAACTGTACACTTTATTTAATTTATGGTAGGAGATACTTCTTTTTCTCTTATCCATCTCTAAGCATATCTCATCTCATTCTTTTTTTAGTACTACTCAGTTATTGTTCTTGCTCCTTAATAATGCTTTCTTTTTCTCATATTCTCTCACACTCAGTAACCTCTTGCATCTTATTGGCTTTATTGTCTTGCTTGGAGTGAAATATTTTTAAAAAGAATGTAATTGTGAGTTCAGTCATGGGGCTTACAGTACAGATATCGGTGTTATTTTTAAGTACAACATGGTAGCTGATTTCAAGTGTTGTCTGACATATGAATTTTTGAATTAGAGATTTTTACACTTGCATGTTTTATCTGTTTTTCAGTCACAAAGATGAAAGTAAATTTAGATTAAAATTAAATTAATAATAATTGCTGTCTTTGATTTAAGAAATTCAGACAACTTAAGACAATTATGTCTTTGCTGCTAATAATCAAAAATTAATACATGACAATACTTTGTCCAAGAAATTTGGATAACTTACGGCTATTATATGTAC